GACCCCATGTCCAGTTTTGATAAAGTTTTTGCACCCGCCACAAACACAGTAATAAACCATTTTGTCTACTTATTATCTAGCTTACTCTTCTCTATCTCTAAGCTGTTATGCTATGCTATCTCTCACTATCTATCTATGTTATGCTTATGATATCTATCTATCTATCTATCTATCTATCTATCTATCTATTAGGGGTGTAACGATACACAAACCTGACGGTTCGGTTCGTCCCACGGTTTTGAGGTCTCGGTTCGGTTCATTTCGGTGGGGTGGGGGGGTTAGAAAGCTAAAATTGCTTTTATTTTTTATTAAACAGTGCTTAAATGAACAAATTGTGTCCTTGTCTTTAAATTAATTCAATTACAAGTAAACGTTTCTCAAGGATAACAAAATTATCTGCTAATGCTGTAAACTACAGCCCTTACTTGCACATTACTATAACATTAAAGCTTAACAACAGAGCCTAGACTTTTAACCTAAATTATATAATAATAATCAACACTCAAATAACAAATTGTATGAAAACATGTAAACTGCACATAAGGCAATTTTTGCATTAACATGTTTTTACTCTAATTTGTTATTGTCATATAATAATTTACACAGTTGCTGTTATTTTCATGACAACTATTTTAAACATACATTAAATAATCAAGACATCATAAACAGGTTAAGTAAAATATAATATATAGGCTAATATATAGCATTTATTTAGTGAAAGAGTTAGCAAACCAGCAAGCTGTGGACACTGAATGACTTGCCTGAGGTAAATATAAAGCTATGTGAAAAACTAAGCGTTTTATTGACGTATTTCCGCTGTTGAAACACTGATTGAGTGTTTACACGAGTTATGATGCCTTTCAGTAAGTATACTGTATCTTTCAACATACCTTCGGGTGTCCATTCATGTTTATTCTGTAACTGAGGAAGAGATGATCGCGCTCCGCGCTGCCGCATGCATACAGTGATATCTGTCACGCCACATCTAAGAGCGCCAAAACGGCATTTATTGTTTGCATTTCGTGATCAAATAGACATAATTTGAAAGATTACACCTTGCTTATTATCAAAAGTAACAAAACACTGAGCTTATTGCGATTATATGTGGTTAATGGTGGTTAGGCAACAGCCCTGTATTCGTTGTGTACACATAACACATGAGGTGCAATGAGCCGGGGCTGGGCGGGGCCGCAGGGGGCGGGGCGCGTTCGGTTCACCATGAGAGTATCGCGATACGTATCGTGGGTGGTGTATCGCGGTTTTTCGGTTCGGTTCAAATATCGTTACACCCCTACTATCTATCTATCTATCTATCCATCTATCCATCTATCCATCTATCCATCTATCCATCTCGATATATTTACTTATCTGACACTGTCACTCTTTCACTAGCTACCGTTAGCTAAGTTACTAAGTTACTCGCGGGCTTTCGTCTGTTGTCCAACAGCGAGTACCTCATGTGACGTCATGCAATGCATTGTGGGAGAAATTAGAATCCTCGCTAGGCTATTGGTAAATGCTAACACATCACCGACTTTTCCGTATTATATTTCTTTTTTGTAATCCCCTACAACATAAAATACAAAGGATAACTGTTTAAATGTTTATTACCAACTAGAAAACTGGCAAAAAAAAAAAAAAAAAAAAACCTGCACCATGGCCTTTAATGCATTCATATTGGTAAGATTTCACGTTTTATAATGTACTGTGTATCATTTTTGTTTTAGTTTGGTGCCATGGAAATTTATTTTAGTGTAGTTTTACACCGGTATGCTAGTTTTTATTCTAATTTCAGTTATCAAAAATGAACTCGGTAAAAACTTGACTATTACATTCTGTACTGACATCAGACTTCTTATTCAATCTCAAATGAGATTAGGTCATTTTAATTTTTCAAATATTTAAAAAAATAGACATTACCAATGTGAAATGAAATTTTGGAATGAATCATGTCGTGATTTTAAAGATTTTTGTCATACCAGCCATCCTGTCACAGTCTTCGTCTGCACCTGTCTGTCTTAGTCATCTTCACTACACTTCCCAGAATCCTTCTTGTCTCCACACCTGTAGTCACTCCCTCATTATCCACCTGTCCCTCGTCATCATCATCTGTGTCACCTGTCTTCACCTCGTTAGTGTTCATTTGGACTTGTATTTAGTTTGCCTGTGTTCAGTCTGTCTTTGTCGGTTCTTGTAAATGCTTAGGTGTTGTTGTGAGTGTTCTGCCTGTCTTCTTGCCTGTAGCTGTTTCCTGTTTTGTTCATAAGTAAACCGTTTATATTGGAGCCTTTTGCCTCAGCCTGCTTTCATTCACACCACACCGTGACACATCCCTTAGTTAGGTTAAGTCTGTGGGAGATCCTCCCTCTTCAGGTTCTACAAAGTCCATAAATGGGACAGAGGAACAAATCCCCCTTCTACCATTTACTGACGATCTCAGGGATTTGAATTAGTAGAGATGAGGGGGAAACAATAGAGATTGAAAAACACATCAGCCCATGTCATAAGGAGATCTCCAACCAAAACATATTTACCAGGGAGGATTTATATTATTTTTATTTTTTTGAGACAGCAGGGTCTAATCCATGCCTGGACTGCTGGGTTTTGGTCTCACTGAGCAGCTGCGCACTGCAGTGGTCAGAAATGTGATCTGCTTTTTAGACCAAAGCCGTTTCTAATGAAGGATAATTAGAATTTCATTCCGCTGTTAATCCCTTGGGTTTGTTTCTTTATTCTGGGTGCTGCATCATGGACAGATGGAGGGTAAAGGCCGTTCAGGACCATGTGTTTGACATTTAGTTTCATTGTTGGGATCTCACTCCAAATGCTAAACTTCTCATCTAAATGAGGTCTATTTTATTCAGATTATTGGTGTTTAGAAGGAGGTCAAAGGATCCAGTTAGAGTACATTAGGGCATTTATTTGTGGTAAATTTGATCTGCTGTTCAAGGTAGACTACTAAATTAACCAGGTTTCTTATGAAACTTCTGCCAGCCAAACAGGTTAATTGGGATTTCAGTTTGAAAACATTACGTCCAGAAATATGTAGTAATGTTCCAACACATGACCCATCCCATGTGGTACTCCTAAGATAGGTATCTTATTGTCATGTGTACAGCCAGTTTTAGATTGTGAAGGCCCAGTCCAACTTGTAATAGCAGGTCTGGGCAGCCGTCATTTACAAACGTTCTTCCGCAAATCTGAGATTCTTTCCACATTTTCCCTTGATAGATCCTAGCTTTCAGTGACGCATGAACTAACAATGAAATGACAACAATGAAGAAAATGTATATTTTGAAGATCCAGTTTTAATCAAACCAAAGGCAAAACAATGTAGCTGAGGTTTGCAATATATATCTTTAATGTGAGCTATATTTGGTCAAATTTGGTTATTTTGTGATATATGTAGTCTCATTCTCTTACTTTTGTAACAGGTTTATTTGTGGAATAAAAGGATACGTCAAGGATACCCCTTTTGAGTACAATGATTTTACCATAGCCAAGCGGTAAAATGGTTTGTTGTGCCTAAATCATGGTAAACTCTATGTAATGCATGGCTTCAAGTGGCTTATTATTTAATAGTGGCTTGTATAAAATTGGCCAACAGCAGTACAATAGACAGGTTCAATAAGTAGTAGTTACATTTTAATAATTTAACTTTTTACAATTTATGTATATTTATTTCATTTAATGTTTTATTATTAAATGACAGTATGGGACATGTAATTGTTTCTACATATTTTAAGATTTGAATTAGAATTTTAAGCTGAAGCAGAACACTTTTTTTCATACTGTACATTGTAATGTACGTCGACTTTGAGTGTGGCTGGCTGGTCCACTCAGAAACTTTCCATTTTAAAAAGTGCATTAAAATACTGATCGCTGACTCCAACAAAAAAACAATTGCTTACAGATGTTTCACGTTTGATATAATGGATTGTGAAGCTTTGCATCTGTAGTTCATATCCTGAATGTTTCTCTGGTGTCAAATCAGAAGAGTTTGAGCTGTATGTCTGAACTCTGAGTCCATAATCGGCTGATCGCAGCTTAAGAGCATGTTAAAAGCTCAGATTAGAGAACACAGTGATCGAGGTGGTCTCTCCAAACAGACCCTGTTTGTTTGAGTTGTTTTCTTTCTTTCTGCTGGATAAATGTAATGAGGGGATAGACATGTTTACGTGTTTCAAGTGATCTATTGTGTGAATAAAGCTCTGGCTCAGAGGCTCAGGAAATGTGTTTTTTGTTTTGCTCGTGTGAGAAAGACGAAGAAAATGAGAGGGAATGAGATACCACTGGCTTTATGCCATTATGCCTGAGGGCAGAAATGTAGTATTCTGTTATGCTTTTCAAAGCTGGACATTTTTTGCGTAATATGGGTGAAGTTTTTGTTAAATTGACGATGTAATACCAGACAGTCAGCAATATGAGAATAAGATCTACTTGTGTCCCCTTTTTCTTTGACACGTTATGAATTTTAGGGTTAGTCCAAATTAATTTTAGGTCGCTGTTAGACCAGAACTTTTGGTGTGAGCCTGAGTCTGTGTGATCTAGTTCCCAAGTACTTGGAAGTGACAGAAATGATCAACCATGAAAAGAGTAATTTATTACTTTTTGTTTTCTTCAGAATATTTCGAAGCAGCCTTAACGTGCAGTCGCAATTAACGTTGCCCTGCAAAATGTCATTTCAATTGGAATCTGTGTGATCATGTGATGGTGAAAGTTCCCCATGCAGATTTTACTCATGTTCAAGTTGGTCACAAAACTTTTGGCATTGTTAGTTGATCTTTTATCAACTAATATTTTATCATTTGTTGTCCTATATTTACAGTCAATAAGTGGCTTTTATCATTATTAAATAACTGTAGTGTATGTAGTCTGTACAGCAGTCTTATTGAAGGACACTATAACAGGAACAGGCCCCATGGGAATTTTTTTTTATTTTTTTTTTAGTTGAGTTGAATGGGTTTTTATGCTAACCTCTGCTCTTTCTGCCCCTGTAGGTTGTCCCAGACCCTCAGTTGTGCCTCATGGCAGTGGGAACCTGACGGAAACGAACCGCGGCTCCTTCCCTGTTGGCACACTATTGCAGTACAGCTGCGATCCAGGATACACGCTGGATGGCTACAGCATTATCACCTGCACCGTCTCAGGCCACTGGTCTTCTGACCTGCCTCGCTGTGTCAAAAATGATGGTATGTTCAATTTATCCCTCTCTTTAGCATTTCATTCCACAAAGGCTAATGCGGTGTTCACATTATGTTGGAATTACGAGTAGATTTCTGAGTAGAAAAACAGTTCTACGTCAAACTTCTAAATTGATATGAAAGCTCTGGTTCCTCTCCTTCGCACTGACTCTCAAGCTTTTTTTTCAATAGTTTGTCAACCACCGAGTGAGCCGGAGAACGGAGGATATAACTGCCACCCCTCGCCGTGCCACAGACTGACCCAGGGTACTGTGATTGAGTACTTCTGTGATGAGGGTTACATTCTGAAAGGAGGGTACCAGTTCCGAACCTGTGACAATGGAGAGTGGAAATCGTCCTTGCAGATCAGCTGTCACCCTGTACAAGGTATGTCACACAGCAGTTGGAGCTTGTTCCACAAGCTCGGCCATTTGGAAATTCTGCCATCATGGTACATATGGGAAGTTTTCCTCCTCCTTGGAAAATGTTGAGAATGGAGAATCATTGTAAATGTATTAAATTATAATAATGTAGATAGCAGTTCAAGCTGTTCAAGTGAGTTTAGTACAGCATTGGAAGTTTTAGGTCCCAGAAAGCATAATTTAAACATCACCTATAATTTTTTTGTCAGACAATCAACATGGTTTTGGATATTCAGTCACTGGATGCAAGTTAAAATTTTAGGGAGCTCTAAAATTTGAGATGAAATTTGTCATTTGTCAGGTGTGGCTTGATTTGTGTTTTTTTTTTGTTTTTTTTTACACAATTTGATTACTGGTTAGTGGTTATCATTTAAATCTGATTGTTTGGTTTTGTGATTAGCTTTATTGAAGTTATCCCTGATGGGAAAAAAAAATCTAAAACAGCTGAAAGTGGTTTGCTGGTTTTTTTTCTGTTTGGCCAGCTGGTTTCCCAGCACAAACTGCTGAAATCACCCCAAACCCCTCTAAAACCTTCAAAACAGGCCAGGTTAAACGGGTGGTTGACCCGCTAACCACCTTAGACTTGTTTAAATTGGCTTTTCAACTATATCTGATTATAAACATAAACATTTTTTGTTTTTGTGTTTTACGCACTGCAGTGAATCAAACAAAGTGTTTCTCTTCCAGGGGACGAGCAGCAATCTACGCTGCCCATGCCGGCTCTGTCTATCGTGGCCTCCACTGCCAGTTCTGTGGCCCTCATCCTGCTGCTGGTGGTGCTGTTTGTTTTGCTTCAACCCAAACTCAAGTCCTTCCACCACAGCCGGTAAGGCCCTGTCTCCCTCTTAAGGCAGGCATACTGTGCGATTTTCGTCCGATTTTAAGCCGAATTCTGACTCGTGCGACTCTTTTTCGGGTCGGGCTGATTTTCAGCTTTGTCGTGCAGTGTACAGGGAGAAACGAGAGGTGATTAACCTCTCCCGACAGGCAATAGGATGGTTGGATGGATTTCTGACATGTCAGAAATTTTGGTCGCCTCGTGAGGTTATTGCTCTGTTGAAGCAGAGCTACGGACCGATTGCCCTAAACTCTGTGTTTTTCCCTCACTGAGCCTGCACGAAAACAAAAGTTTAACCATTTAATCTTTAATGCAGCAAGAGAGATAACGAAAAGAGGGAGATCTTTAAGTTCTGTAGCTATCAAACTAGCTACAAATTACTGTTGCTTACCTCCAGTTCGTGTTGCAAAATGGATAAACCATATTACCCACGTCTGTAGGTCTAGCTACCGTGCCTCTTTTATTCATTTGTAAAACAATGCTCATGTTTAACAATCTGTTTTTGAAATAAAGCTGTTTTTAATTTTCATTGATGACTGATTATTAGTGCAGTGTTCGGACATATAGACTGTTAATCATTTTAATTATAGGCCTATAATTCATTGTAATCGACCTAAATGTTCTTAGACCATTTTCAATGAGGAGGAGTAAGCTTCTATCTAATCTTTGCAGCATGTCAGTTATGCGGTGATGCGCTATGAAATTATTGAGTGGCAAGTAATTATGATAGCCTATCAATTTAATAATAAAAGTAGACCTTCCCTAATAATAATAATAATAATAATAATACAATAATATAATAATTGAATACATACATTGGAAATGTTAAATACTCTTGATATTGATAGCTGATGCTTGTTTTGACAATATCTCTGGATACACGATATCATGGTCTATTGGCGCAACCCGGCACAGGGGTTTATCGCGTATTTTTCACACGTATAGTGTGAGCAGTCAAGTCGCAGCTCGACGTTCGGACCGTATAGTGTGAGCACATAAAACGAGAGCTTTGGCTTTACATCGCATGCGATCTACTCGTTCAGTGTGAGTAGGTAACCTTGTTGACATCGCATAGTGTATGCCCGCCTTTACTGAGCGCACCTTCTTCAATGACTGTTGTTTTATTCTCACAAAGAAGGAGATTACATAGAGTTCTTATGTAAATCTAAAAACGTGAGGATCAAAACTGTCATGAAAACCTAAATTACGACTATTTTTTGTTATATCATCATCATCATCATCAAAACTTTATTAAGGACACACATGGTCCAATCACACACAGTAACAGACAAAAAAAAAAAAAAAAAAAAAAAAAAAAACAACAACAACAACACAATATCACATGTTTACATACAGGCTAAAACGCCAATGGTTCCACATACCAGAGGAGAACCTGACTGAACTTAGGGTCGGGTTTGTCAATGTTGAAATTATGCTGTTTGCAGAGTCTAACAACCTACACATACATCTGTACATGAGATTGCGCAGAACAGCAGAACAGGTGGGCACGCCAACACTGACAAACAATTGACTTGCACTACTCCATCGCGGCACCCCAAGCAACAGCCTCATTCCGTCATTATATGCTACATTGAGTTTCTGCATGCTGCTCTTTCTGTAGCGCCGCCACAAATGGGCAGTATACATCGGGGTGCAATATGCTCTAAAAAGTGCAATCTTTACAGATCCAGAGCACATACAAAATTTGCAAATCAACGTATTCGCCTGTGCATATATCATACGACACTGTCTATAAATATCCCTATCATCAGACAGGTCCTCAGTTATATAGTGTCCCAAATATTTAGCCTCATCGCATACCATAAGGTCAATACCAGACAGAGAAAATACAGGAAATAATAGTTTCCTGTCCTCCCTACTCCTGACAATCATAACATTACTCTTCTTTGCATTGTATTTAATGTCAAAATCTGAGCCATATTGAGAACAGACCCTCAGTAACTGTTGAAGGCCAGCACTATATGGACAGAAGATAACCAAATCATCTGCGTACATTAAGTGGTTGATGATAGTATTACCAACCATACAACCAGTTCCACAGCTGTTTAGCAATTTTGATAACTCATCCATATAAACATTAAAAAGAAAGGGGGACAGAATGCTTCCCTGTCTGACTCCATTGCATACATTGAATGGAGCAGACACAAAGTTACCCCATTTCACATGCATTGACTGATGAGCATACCAAAAAGCCAGAATTCTCACCAGAGATTTGGGAACTCCTCTGTTGAGTAACTTATAAAATAATTGTTCATGATTTACACGATCAAAAGCTTTAGAGGCATCAATAAAAGACATAAAAATTGTAGAATTATGCCTTTTATATAAATCTAGAATCTCCTTTAATGCAAAAATACACATATCTGTGCCATGTTTAGGTTTAAAACCAAACTGGTTGTCAATGGTCAGGACAAACTGTTCCAACTTGAGCAGTAAGGTCCTCTCCAAGACCTTGGATATAATACTGGCTAGTGCTATAGGCCTGTAGTTATCCATGCTATTTATTTTGCCAGCTTTGTCTTTAATAATAGGCACTAAGATCACCGATAAAATAGACTCAGGTAAAATACCATGAACTAAAAACCCTGTAAAACACATTGCCAGAAGAGGAAAAAGTTTTCTACTCGCAAATTTTAGATGTTCAGCAGATATCTTATCCATACCACATGCCTTGGTATCTTTTAACATCATAACTGCATCATAGACTTCTTGAGAGGAAACAGTCACATCTTCATTTTTGTCAATGATGCCTACAGCAAGCGGATTACTTTTAACACAGTTGAACAGCTCATAATAATGTTTTTGCCACACCTGAGTAATTTCCTCTTGGCCACTTATACCATCAATATTCGTTGGCAAATATGTTTTACAATTATTTATTCTTTTGATTTCTTTCCAGAAATCATTTGGATTCTTTTTTTGCAGTTTCCTCGCAAGTGAGTCCGACCTCATTGTGTTCTCATTCCTCTTTATAAAACGTAGGGCATATTTAAAACGTGCATTTGCTTGTTTCTTATATTCAAATAAGGGACCATGTTTATGTCTACCTGACTCAGCCCAAGCGTTAAAAGCCCTTCTAGCCTCCGCATGAAACTCTTCAACATATTCATTCCAACCTGGCTTGGCTTTATACATCTTGGTCTTGTATAGAGGCCTGCTTGACGCCAGAAGGGACTCCACTATATTATCATACAAGGAGAACAACTCAATACCTTACCATGTTGTTGGTTCTTACAGTTAATATCACAACACGCAACCGCATCTTTTGGTAAGTCAATATTACTTAACAACACATCAGACTGACCACAATATACTTCAAGATCCTCCTCTGACAGTTTAGACCATAATCATAATTATAAAAATGCTTCAGGAAAAAGTAAATAAATAGTGGAAGTAAAAACAGTATTCTGTATACTTTTGGATATTAAAAGGACACTTACAATTTTTATATTTGATGTTTGTCCAAGTTTTGGGTTGGAAAGATAAAAAAAAAAAATCATAATTACTTATGCTCACCAAGGCAGCATTTATATGATCAAAAATACAGTAAAAACTGTAATATTGTGAAATATTATTACAATATAAAATAACAGTTTTCTCTTTTCATATATTGTAATTTATTCCTTTGATAGCATGCTGATTTTTTGTAACATTATAAATGTCTTTAGTCACTGCATTTAATGCATCCTTGCTGAATAAAAGTTCTACTACATTTGACACCTAGCAAGTATCCAAAAAAAAAAATTTCTTCATTTTGAACTATTTTAAACCATATAATTTTTTTGCGTTTTAAACCGTTTGCTTGAAAAGTGTTTGTGCTCTATTTCATTCAAATAAATGCCACTAGTAGGTTTGATATTTTATTATAGTACATTTTTAAATGTTATTTTTGTACTTTGGGTACTTTTTCAGTCATTTTTGGTACCACTGAATGCATTAAGAACGTTTAAAAAAAACAGCTTCTTGAAGTGTTTGCATATGTACTAATTTTAGTAGCATGCAGATTTTAAGTCAATCCTAATTCCAACTGTTTGACATAAACAAATATGGCACTTCCCCTACTGCGCTGTTGTTCCAGTAATCTGCTGTTGCGTAATCAGCCCACTGTGATGTAAGCCACAGGTCAGGATTTGACACCGTTTAAGCCTTACTTTTTATTCCCATATCTCTCCTTCACTCTTTTAAAGCAGCCGGGAGCAGGGTGTGTCAGGACAGCCTACCTCCATCATGGTGGAGGGCGTTCAGGTCTCGCTGCCCTCCTACGAAGAGGCCGTGTACGGCGCAGGCGGCACTCCCGTGCCACCTCCTGAGTCCCGGGTTCAGATCGTGCTGTCGGAGGGCCCGCAGGTGGAGGGTTTGAACGAACCTCTAGAACAGGCTCAGACGAGTTACAGTTTCCCCTCCACCTCGACTGCTGCGCCCTTGTGTCACGCAGAGACTGTATTGGTTCACCAGGTGCCCTCTTCCTCCTCTCCATCCTCCTCATCCTCTCGCTCCTGGGCTGCTGAGCAGCCTGGTGCCGCTGCGCCTCTGCACCGCAGGCAGAGCAGCGAGAGCAGCGATCAGCACAGCTTGCTTTCAGTCACCTCTGCCGAAGACTATGGTGATGGTGAGTGAAATTGCAAATCTAGATGTAGAGGTGATGTGTGGTTTAACTTGTGTGGATACTCGACGAAATGGGCGTTTTGGCTAAAATTTCTGAAAGAAAGAAAAATCATTTTACGATAATAATATTATTAAACAATATTTTACAATCTGAAGTAAACAATTTTACAATCTTTTCGTTTCTTTTTTACAATATCATGTATTATTAATTTATTTACTATTATTACAACTAAACGACTTCTCACTACCTGAACTAACATGGCCGTGTCATAAAAAGGTTCAATTATTTGATATTTTAAGAGACTTATGCATTACTTTTTTTTTTTTTATAAAACTTTTTTCTTTTTTATGTCAGAACAGTTGTATCACCAGACTTTTAGCCATTATGCTCCCTCAAAACGATTAAAGTGAATTTTATTTCTTATTTCAAAACACACTCACCATAGAAGAGGTGTATTCACGTTGTTGTTTTTGTGTGGATTGCATTTTAAAAGTATTTTTTATTTAAAAAAAATGAGCTACATGCCATTGACCCGTTTTTTGTTTTGTTTTCATGTCTTTTCTTCAGATATTCCATTGCTAAAGGAAGCCTGAGTCTGTGTACAGCCCCCTCCCTCTCTTGTCACCGCTGGCCAGCACTGTAACCCCTAAAGCTTCTCACCAAACACTTACCCCACACCTACCCTTCAGAACGCAGCAGTAAATAAGATCCATCAGCTGTCCCTCTGCCAACAAATCGCCCGGCCCTGGGGTCTACAAGCTGCGTGGCCCCCATGGAGTCTGGCAGCTCTCTTGACAGGAAGGACTTTTGACCGGACGACCCCTCAAAGGGATGCGCAAATGCTCGAGTTTAACACTTTTCTTGCAGGTGCGCTAATAATCAGTTGCACTCACAGGCTTACCTCGTCGTGACGAGGATTCACTAATTACAGATGAATGCATTAAGATTACGTTGTGGACCTCTGCTCCGTCAATGACTGTGACCTCTTGCGAAGGGGAGAGTTCAGCAAGGATTTGCTAAGCCAGGCCCTTTTCTCTTTGATGCTGCATGTTCTGTGCAATTTCTATTCTCTGTTTCATTCTACACGCTTACACACAGGAGCACGGCACAATCGAAGCATGACGCATAGCACCATCTCGACACATTCCCTTGTGCGAGACGCAGGGTTGAACTGATTTACATTGTACTGTATTCAAATACATGCTTGCCTTTTTATTTGTCAAAAAGTACCTGTGCTGTGCTGTGCTGTGCTGTGCTGTGCTCTGCGTGTGTGTGTGTGTGTGTGTGTGTGTGTGTGTGTGCGTACATGGGTTTCTGATGCCTGTGACTGTGGCTGTTGTCATTCGAAGAGGGCTGAAGTATCATCTAGGCTTCTTTTCCCCAAAATAGGAAACATTTTCAATACCTCCATTTTCTAATCGCGACGTTATTTAACTAGGATGGATGTTCCTTGTCTACATGTCTGTTTGTCCAAAGTGAGGGAGACATACTTTCAGAGAAATAATTCAACTTTATTTCTTCCTTTTAAAAGCAAGTATAGCTCTCTCATGTTTATGTGTTGCACGCACAAGCAAAGAAAACTTTAATGGTTTTTTTTTAAAATCACTTTTGAGTTCTTTTTCCAAGAGGACTTTGTTGGGTGTGGACTAAGTTCGTTGCTGGGCTGTACCTTATTAGCTTTGACTAATAATATTTGGAATATAATTTAAGCAAGTTTAATTCACTTTTAATTTGTTAAATGTTACAATATTACATTTGAATGCTTTGCAAAGCCAGCTGTGGTGTGGCTAACATCTTAAAGATGACTAGCAAAAATAGAAGCACCTTCTATTAAGTTTTCTTAATAAATCATTCGCTATTAAGATGGTATTTGTAAAGAGAATTCATCAGATATCCCATCAGATGTTAAATAGGTTGTGCATTGTTTTAATGCACTGTCTAGACTCAGCTCCAGAAAATGGCCTTGTTCTTCACTCATAATGTTCTTTTGGCAAATGGGCATTTGAAAAACCAATGAATCTTTTATTTGAATTGCTTTTCGTTTTGCATTTTTTCATCCTTGCTCATTGAACATTGCCACCTCATGTGTATATCCCCTGTGTGGTTCATGCGAGATTCTGATGTTTGTCACCATGCATCATATATATATATATATATATATATATATTTTGTGTGTGTGTCTGACTTTGGAGAGACTGGCTTGTTTTTGTAAATTTATTTTAAAAAAAATTCATGCAAACTGAAGGCAAAATATTACTGCTGCCTTAACTTGTACATTTTATGCATTTCTCACTTTGTAATCACATTTCTTCTGTCTCACTGGCTTTATGGTAATTTGTCTTCAGTTTCCTTATGGCCTTACTTTTTTTTTTTTTCTATGCATAAACATTGTCTTGTTGAATTTAAGACGTAGGGTTTTACTCCTTTGGAGGATGTGACATAAGATTGTCCACCCGAACTTCCTCAGAACCTTTTTGTTTTCAGTGATTGTGAAATATGAACATATGAGCTTTTATTTCTTTTTGTTTATCAGTTTCATTCAAAGGATTTTTTAAGTTTAAAAAAAGAAAGAAAGGACGCAATTAAAAAAAAGGATGTCCAGGATGTGTGTGAAACACTGTTGTACGGTGTTTTTCTGCAAATGTAATTTAAGTTGACTCAACCACCCAGCTCCCCGTCCCCATTACACTTTTTTTTGGTTTTCCTCTGTACATTGCTGTGGGTGTGAAGATAGTATTTTAATATTTGTATAAAGTTTAATTTAATTCTACAGTGTGTATATAACTATTTCTAATTAAAGCTTTCATTTGAAGTGCACAAGAAGTTTGGTGCTTTTTATGTTATGGTTCACTATGAATACTTTTAGGTATATTATATATCTACATTGTCATATGACGAAGGATTCCATTGTTTCCAGGGTAAAGTGCAGATACCCTTAGTGAGTAAGTAATGTTGTGCGTTACCGACATCTAGTGGTGGAGATTGGAAAGTTGTAATAGGAATGCATACTAAGATTCATTTCCGCGAATCTGTTCTTCTGACAATTCATTCAAAGAACCGATTTAAAAGAACGATGCAGCTATTTACCGCATGACGTGATTACTTATCTCGTCTTTCCTGACATACCGGCTGTTTATTATCGAAATTGATTAATAAGGCTGTTTATTGTTATTTCTTGTTTACAATTAATTTTGTTGCAGCCATAATGGAGCTCACTGAGAAGCTAAATAGCCCAGCAGAAGGTTTTTTTTAGGTGAGTTGGACCAAAAGCGGCGGTTCTCCGTTCAATGAGTCGAAATTGACGGTTATTCAGTGGTTCAGTCTGATTCGTGAATCACTCTGTTTGGTTTTGTGAACCGGTTCAATTGGTTTATTGAAAACAGCCGATTAAAGTACAATTCGCTGCAGTGTAGACGCCATTTAAACTATATAACGTATGTTATGGTCGGTCAGATTATTTATCAAAGTAAATAATAATAATACGAAGTAATATTGACACTACAGATGTTTCGTCTCTAAACAAAATAGGACTAAGTTACTAACTTACCGTGCAACTGTTACATCATTACATTTGACACAGTTTAAACTAATTGATCTATTTTTTCACGTAGATAGCTGCAGTATAATGCTTAAAATTGAGTATTATACTGTATCTGACATAGTAGTTGAGCGCAGTGTCTGAACTGATCTCAGATCAGTGTTGAGCGTCGCTCGCATCTCGCGGCTCGCTCTACACACACTGACTCCATTTTGTGTGAAAGGGATTGTTCGCACACGCACTCATTCAAAGGAGAAACATTAGACAGAGGTATGTACCTGAGACAGTGCATCTTCACACTTGTCTGAATTCAGCTTTTAAGGGTTGTGTTGTTTAACCGACTGTTTTGTGTAACGATTCACCAGTTAATGAGTTCTCTTTGGATGTGGGTTGTGGTTCTTGAAGGCCCTCTACTAGCCTTCGTCGGTGTTTGACGCTTGCATAATAACAGCGTCGCGATATTAGTTGTTTTTACCTTGTTTGTATTTGTTTTAAAGAAAATGAGTGGTTGTCGTATTTTCATCGGTCGATTAAACCCCTCTGCTCGGGAGAAGGACGTCGAGCGGTTCTTCAAGGGTTATGGAAGAATCAGAGATATTGACCTGAAAAGAGGCTTCGGATTTGTGGTACGTTTTGCCTTTCGTAAACAATTTCATCAAATTTCAGATATTGCAACAGTATGCTGTTTGTGTTGCATTGTAATTATAGTGACTTAAGCTATTATGATGTGGGCATTTAGGCGTCCAACCTTAATAATATATTAATAGCACATGTGCTGTGTTTCAAAACCTAGTCTACAATGGACAGCGTTTTTAAATAGAAACCTCTCCTGATTTTGAGACAGCCACGTAATGAAGTGTTCATCATTTCAGGTTATTAGTCTATACTTGTTATTTTAATACTATATATTTTCAAATTCACGACCATTCAAAAGTTTTGGGGAACCCAAAAGCTGCTTTTATTTGATCAGAAATACAGTAAAAACACGAATGTTGTGAAATTTTGAAAATATCTATTTTAACATTTTTAAATGGTAATTTATTCCTGTGATGGCAAAACTGATTTTATCACGTTAACACGTCCTTGCTGAATAAAAGTATTAATTTCTTACCTTTTGAACGGTCATGTAGCCTATATAATATTGTCAAATGAAATTGCAAGTTTGCAACAATGAACTGAGCAATTAACAAATGTAAACTAAAAGTTCTTCGGATTATATTATAATCTTCTTAGGACTTCTTATATTAATTGGACAAGAAATTAGGAGAAATAAACTAAAGCTCAAGAATTAAGTGCCTATTTTTTTCAGGAATTTGATGATCCAAGAGATGCAGAAGATGCTGTTTATGAGCTTGATGGGAAGGAGCTCTGCAATGAGAGGTATACTTAAATTCAGTGCCTGTTTGTATAGTGGTTTTCACAACACATTGTTACATATTAGGGACTTGAGACTTAGCTGATACATGTATGATTACTTTTTTTTTTCCTGCAGAGTGACTATTGAACATGCTCGTGTCCGCCTGCGTGGGGGCCGAGGTGGTCGTGGTGGCGGTGGTGGAGGTAGTGGTGGCGGTGGAGGACGTTTCCCTGGTCGGTATAGCCGTGGTTCCCAGGACAGCCGGAGGTAGGGGTCAATCTTTGTTAAATACTTTGCATATGTGCTTTTTTATTATTGCACATTAACATTATAACGTTTCCTTTTTTGTTTTAAAGAAATGAATACTTTTATGTAGAAAATATGCTTTACATTGATTAAAAGTGACAGTAAAGTCATTCGCACAGGTGAGGTTGTGTAAACATACAATGTTCAGTGTTTTCTAGAAATCAAGTCAATAACTCTTAACTGTTTCACCTGTCAGGAACCCTCCACCGATGCGCACGGAGAATCGTCTCATTGTGGAGAATTTGTCGTCAAGAGTCAGCTGGCAGGTGAGCATTCATCAATTACCTGTCATGTTTTGGGGAGTCAGTTGATTTCCCAAACACTGCAAATAACACACAAAAAGGAAAAAAAAAGGAATCCTTCATAGATAATTAGAATATGTAGAGTTAAGTTGATAAATGTAAATCAATGGCAGAAGTTGTCATTCTGAGATTACTTTCAAATTCAAGGTCATATAATACTGAGGAAACAGTAAGGTTAAGTCACTTTGCCTCTGTTTTAACCAATTGTTCACCCCTCTATTTGCCAGCCTGACTGTTGTGTCGTATGGAAGAGCTCGCTAATGGTGGAGTTAACCCCTACAGGGTCCCTCTCTCTGGTTAAGCCACTCCCATTGTGTCCCACGCCTAGTTGACCTCCGCCGATCGCACGAGAGCTCTCTGAGAGTGATGCCCTCTCGCTCTAGACGCAGCGGCTGCCGCTACAAAGCGTGGTTTGTGACGGTGCCGAGCTGAAAGAGAGAGAGAGACAGAGATTGAAAGCGAGAGATCGAGAGAGAGAGGGGCAGAGAGAGAGCGAGTGAAAGAGAGAAAGAGAGCGAATCTCTGGCTTACGCAGTCAATCGAGGGGTTCGGTAATTTGAGAGGCTTCGATCGGTATACTCACCCACCCTGCTCTCTGGTGGTCCCACACACGTGGCAGAGGATAAAACAGCCCGATGGGTACGTTCCCAGGTATTAGTCTATAATCTCTTCCTCGCTGTTTACGCTCGGTGCCCTTGAGGGGACGGCACAAATAGGGTACGATCGATGGAGGGAGGCCTAGTGCACTTCCACACTGTATGCACTTGTGTTTTGGTAAGAATGCATTTGCCATGTAAATGTACATTTTACTAAATGTGGGGCCCTTTTTTTACGAGCCGCTCCACATAGTTGCTCTGCTAGTCTTGAATGTTGTAGTACAGGGGTCCGGGAATGTCACAGCATTGCAAGCCAAATTATCCATGGTCAACATTGTTCCCTTGATTATCACGCCACCACTTTTTGTTCTAGTGCTAGTTAATTTTGGCGATGAGACACAGAAGTCTTTGTGTTTGGACATTTCAGAAGCCAGTGTTAGCAACACAAAGCTTTAAATGGATAGTCGAAAGAATTTGAAATAAGGCAGCATTGCACAGCATTGCAAGCCAAAATTTCCCAGGTCAACATTGTTCCCTTGATTACTGCGCCGCCACTTTTCATTCCAGTACCCATTCATTTTGGTGATGTGTAAACACAACGTCTTTTGTGTCTCAATGTTTGCGCATTTCACAAAGCTTTAAGTAGAGAGTGGCCGCTTGGCTTCGCTTTTTGTTGGTTTCAAATCTATCCGTGTGCTTCCCTTCAACTTCATTTGAATGTTTATATGTAGCATATTGAACATGGTCCGGGCTTGAGCAAGATCTGAGAAGTTCTCGGACCCCAACTTTGATAGTTAATTTACCTTGATACTTCATAAAACGTGTAAATGTGCTCATCTAAGTTACCTAGCTAACACAACATGCTGCTGTACTGTGTGTAGGATTTAAAGGATTTCATGAGACAAGCTGGAGAGGTTACTTTTGCAGATGCCCATCGGCCAAAGCTTAATGAAGGGTGAGCTGGCTATGTTTTTTTTTTCCTGTTACTCTCCCAGTCATTTTTTTTCTCCATTGAATTCGATGAATTACAGTAACTGTAGATGTATGTAATGTTAAATATATCACAATGAAGACAAATCATGGATTTCATCTAAATTAATATTGCATTTCTTTTTGAATGTTTTATGTAATGCTTTTATCTTTCTACAGTGTGGTTGAGTTTGCCAGCCATAATGATCTAAAAAATGCCATGGAGAAGTTGTCTGGGAAAGAGATCAATGGAAGGAAAATCAAACTTGTTGAGGCGTCCAGGAAAAAGTGAGTTATTCTTTTTTTTAGCATGCACTAATAATATTTCCAATATATAAAATTAATATAAAAAAAGCATTTATGTATAAAACTAAATAAATATAAGATTTTCATAATTGATACAATTATTTTGTTATTACTAATATTTGTTCAATATCATCCAAAAGTTTGGGGTCAGTATTTATTTTATATTTTTATAAGATGACGCGAGAGAGAAATTAATGTTTGTTTGTTTGTTTGTTTTTACCAAAGATGCATGGAATTGTTCAAAATTGACAGTAAAGACATTTATGTTACAAAAGATTTCTATTTCAAATAAATGCTCTTCTTTTGAATTTTCTATTTGTCAAAGAAACATGAAAAAATGTATCACGGTTTACAGAAAATCAGTGATTATAATAAGAAATTTTTCTTAAAGCACCAAATGCTGACATGTGACACTGAAGACTGGAGTAATGGTTGCTGAAAATTCAGCTTTGCCATAACAGGAATAAATAAAATGTTGTATTTTTGATTAAATAAATGCAGCATTGGGGAGAACAAGAGATAAAAATATATTTAAAAAAAAATCTCATCAACCCCAAACTCTTGAACAATAGTGTGTAGATAGATTAATGAATAGATTTTTCTCTTGCTTTCTCTTGTCCTGTAGATCCAGAACTCGGTCTCGCTCAAATAGCTCATCTCGATCTCGTTCTCGTTCACGAGGGCGTTCCGCATCACGTTCTCGTAGCCGCTCCCGTTCCCACAGCCCCAAATCACATAACCACTCAAGAAGTCGGTCCCGTTCAGCCAGTCCCTCTCCTGTGCGGCCCAAGGAAGCAGCGCGTGCTGAATCCGCATCCCCGCCGACCCCAGCGCAGCGCCCCCCGCCGTCTCGTTCCCCGTCCGCTGACAGCCGTCATTAGATGCTGCTGCTGCACTGCGTGCTGAGGGAAGCGGCTGATGAAGTTTAGCGCAGCAATATTGTCCCACCTTTGGTCAATTTAGGCCTCTCCATGCCAGTGTTTTCACAGCTCTGTTGCTAATTTAAAGGTATTTGACAGGAGAGTCCATTTAAATCAGGACTATACTGCTATTTTTTGGTGGGGGGGTTTTTAAGTTCATGTCTCAAATGGGTTTTTTGTGATTGTTTTTTATCACTACATACAGAGTGAGGTTTGATTTCTGTCGAGATTCTTTAATTGTATAAACATATTTATGGACAAACCAGTAAATATGATTGTTTTCAGTAAGTTTGGCCCTTTGTTGTGTTCTGAAGATTTGTAATTAGGGTTTTATGAATAATGCAAATTGTTTGTAATGTAGATGCTTGAATTATAATGAAAGAAGTCAAATAATTATCTGAGTTACCTTCACGCTGCATGAATAAAGAGATCTTGTTACACATTTGTGAATCCCTGTTTTATATACCAGCCTTTTTCATATGTATGCATTTGATTTCGCAGTGTATACACATTTTAATGTTGCATTTGTTTGAACGATTCAATTGAGCTTTTTTTTAGTCCCATGCATTTTCTCATTCTTTTTTTTTTCACAAAAGAGGATGAGATTTTAATATGCCATATTTTTGATGTGTTGTAAACTGTCTCATTTTTTTTCAGATCATGTTGAATCAATGTCCGGCTTTGTCTGGATATGTTTTGATGCATGTTTTTCATTTATTTGGAATATGAGTCACCTTTCTGTACCATGATATAAATATTAATTAAATGTTTTTGAACGTTTATAAAGTTTGCGTAGCACTGTAAAAAAAAAAAAAAAGAAAATTCCCCAAAAAGCTGTTAATAATGGGGTCAGTCGTTCATCTGAAAGCTCAAAAACACGTTACACGTTAGACATAAATATTGTTTGTTAAAAAAAGTTAACTCTACAGTACACATTTATTGTTAACAAGAAGTATGTATTGCAAGTTGCAACTTTGTTTAAAAATTCACACTTGAAAGGTGTTCAAAAAAATTAAGCATCAGACTCCTGATGTCATTTGTCCTCTGCATATTTTGTTTTATGTCTTAGATATGTATTGAATAGATTTATTAAATGCCTATGGTGATATTCAAATAAAAATAGCACCTGTTTCAAGGCAGCTGAAAAAGCAGTCACGTTTGTGCTGTTGTGCAACCACATACAATTGGACACTTTGAAGAAACTTTTCAGGCTGATGCTGTTGTTCACTCTATGGGATCCCCTGTTAGGGTCTATTAGTTTCTTCAGATGCTCTTGTCACTGTTGTTTTGTGTAAAAAAAGAGAAATAGTTCATTTTAAGAGTTACAGTATAATACTTAGGATTTGTAATTTTTTTGTCTTTAGAAAAAAAAAAAAAAAAGACTGATAGATTGACTGATTGGTCGAATTACCATTCATGACAACTGATCAGTCCTCCAGAAATGTAATTCTGTAAGTTCATAAAATTGATGTACCTTTTGGGGTGGTTAAGATGAAATCTGCTTATTCTTGTGGTGCTAAACAGTGTTTTCCTGCAGTTCCAGAGTAACTGATCACATGGCAGATGATTTTTTTATTGGGTTTTGTTTTCAGGTTTGTAATTGCTTTATTTTAGTGAAAATGCTATTATTAGCCTTTTAAATATTATAAATAACCGTGTCACAAATAGATATTAAGGACATGTTTTAAATACAATTTAAATCTTTTGAAATGCATTTAACAATTTAAAATGTGTAACTTTCGCTAGAATTTAAATAGATTTGGAAGATGTTTTTATTTAGTTGGCATTATATATATATATATATAACAGGTCAATAAACAGTGTGTTCTTACTGTGAAAATTAACCCACAACATGCACTGCTATCGATCGGTACACAATTCCTGCACACATAACCTGGTTGAAAAGTGCTACTTTTTAAACTTATACTAGAAAAAAAAAAAAACTCCAATACTAAATTATGAAAAGGTCTGTTTTATTAGGGTATGACTATAGTTTATTGTATTATGGCACTAAAACAATTAGTGTTTCAATTAAGACTGGTGGACAGTACAAAAGAACAATTAGGTTCTACAGTCAAATTTATCATGTATTTTAGAATGTAAACAAAAAGCATTTTAAAACTGTCCATTCAGTTCTATACAGTTTCAATTATGAACTCTTCTATTAAGGCAAGGCAAGTTTATTTGTATAGCACATTTCATACACAATGGTAATTCAAGGTGCTTTACATAGAAGAAATTAAAATAACCAAAAGAGAAAGAATAATTAAAACAGTAATAATTTAGTTTTATTAACTAAAACCGTACAGCATATGGTGATATTTTGTCTTAAAATTGCTTTTTCAGCTTAATAAGCACTATGGAGTCCCCTCAGATGTCACTGTCCGAGGGTCCATTCGTTTCTTCAGCTGCTCTTTCCACTGCTGTGTGCACTTGTGTCTCTGTGTAAGAAAAGAGAAAACAGTTCTTTTTAGAATTTATAATACTTATAATAATTTTAAAATAAGCACTACATCAATCTTTAGGTTATAATAAAAATAGAATTCTACCACTTTTAATACTTATATAAATTGATAAACATTCTTCTTAGAAATGTACTTTCATAACAAGTTTAATGGACTTCATGTACCTTTTTGGGATGGACTCAGCTTCTGGATGCATCTGAACAGGACTATGAAAAAAAGAGCCTCGACTATCTGGAACACAACGTAGAGGATAGGAAAGAAATACAGCTGACCAATGAGCTCAGCAGGGAAGGCCACCTTCAGGATTGTGGAACACAGTTGGATGTTCTGACAACCTACCTCCACAGAAACCGTACGTCTGCCACTGAGGACCCAAGGACACAAATGAACATCACACATGTGAAAAATGCAGTGTGACACCTTGGCCAGATACAATACAATTTCATATTCCGGTGGACATACGTACGGTGCATTCATCCTGAACAGAGTGGACAGGATATATCCACATGTGAATCCAATCAATGGCATCAATGCAGCTGTGGCTGTAAGTTGAGGAGATAGCACTGTGAAAACTTTTCCTCCATCATATATACCAGCAAGAACACCAATGACAACACAGGAGATCAGCATCACCATCAACCCAACCTACAAGCCAACAGGGAATAAAACAGGAACATAGTTGAAGAATATGCTTATAATTCATATAATTTGTCTGTCATGCTGATGGCATGTAACCAGAGGATTCATCCTTTACAATACAGCAGATTGTGTGGTCGAGCAGCATAGAATGTTGATAAAGTGATCTTGTTTTTTCAAAACATGTAAGAATTACCATAACTACAAGATGACAAGTCAGAGCTTAAAAAAAAAATCAGAGTTTACAAATTCTAATTATGAGTCCTGTGAAGGTATAAACACTTGGTAGCCATAGGTTGGAATCTCATAATAACTGTAATTCAGCATATGTCTGTGTTTCCGCATTCAAGTCTGTTTGTATTGGGGATTTTTTCAAGTGATGCTCAAATGGGTGGAGCTTGACCTAAATTAGGTTTAGGGTTAAGGTTAGAGGATGTGGTACTCACTTTAGAGTCAAGTTATGTCAAGCTCCCAGTCTCTGGACGTAATGGATGAAGCTTAACCTATATAGTTCAGAGGCAGCCTTTTTCAGATTTCAGTCTATAAATGCGTAAAGGAATCATTCTCTTGAAACTGGGAGATGCACAATGGTTTTGCTTTGGCTTTGATTAGAACTATTTACATAGCAAAAACACAGTTAAGAATGATAACTATTATGATAAAAATTTTAGCGTCCACACCATGCTAATATACAGTGGGGAGAACAAGTATTTGATGCACTGCCGATTTTGCAGGTTTTCCCACTTACAAAGCATTTAGAAGTCTGTAATTTTTATCATAGGTACTCTTCAACTGTGAGTGACGGAATCTAAAAACAAAAATCCAGAAAATCACATTGTATGATTTTTAAGTAATTTATTTGCATTTTATTGCATGTGTAAGACTGAAAAAAACTAGTTGAAGAGGAAGGACCTTGGACCAAGGACCTTGCTGCAAATTAACATTTGAACATCTCACACACACACAATTCTTCCCCGCAACCCCCACTCTTGCAGAGATCCCCCAAACTCACACAAGAATCTATATGGTTTTAATTTGAACAACTATTATACAGTTTTATACATGTGTTTAGTATTATTTGAAATGTCTACAAGTGTAACTGGTACAAGTGTCCTATTTCCAAATAAGTAAAACAAAAGGTAATACGGTTTTTAAGAGTTTAGGGATAACTGGCACACAAAAGAATCTGGTCTCTATGGTCCTACCCCCAAAAAGGTGTAAATTCATGAATGCAAATTACCACTGTTAGCAAATGGTACCATGTAAATCAACTTCTGCCCCCAGTAAGTCTGGGGTGTGAACACAGTACATTTCCACTGTGAACTCATGTTTACATATGAAATGAGGTCTGGCGATATAATGAAATGCAGCGGAAGGATCAGGGCCTTTCTGTATCTCAGATCAGCCCATGAATGCTGAGTCGCCGAGATTTCATAATGTCGGGTAAAAGATTTTCCCTTTTGTTTTAGAACATTTGATGGTTTGCATTGATTATCTTTCAATTGATTATGAAATTGTTAATAATACATTTACCTGACATAATAAATTGTTATATTTGATTATTCTAACAGACTTTGACTTTATTTTCATTAGATTTAAAAGGAATAGTCAAACATTCACGTAGATTTAATGATGCACAGATATCATTGAAAAACCTTTTCATTTATGGAGTCAGATGAAATAACGAGTTAATACATAAGATAAAATGTATTGCATTTAATTAAAAATCCCTTTGCCGCATGACAAAAGACGGAACACGCGTAAGACCTTTACCTCTAATCGGATACCGCCATTGGATCGAATTAGACGGCCTTACACATGACATAAGTATTTGATCACCTACCAACCAGTAAGAATTCCGGCTCTCACAGACCTGTTAGTTTATCTTTAAGAAGCCCTCCTGTTCTCCACTCATTACCTGGATTAACGGCATCTGTTTGAACCTGTTACCTGTATAAAAGACACCTGACCACACACTCAATCAAACAGACTCCAACCTCTCCACAATGACCAAGACCAGAGAGCTGTGTAAGGACATCAGGGATAAAATTGTAGACCTGCACAAGGCTGGGATGGGCTACAGGACAATAGGCAAGCAGCTTGGTGAGGAGGCAACAACAGTTGGCGCAATCATTAGAAAATGGAAGAAGTTCAAGATGACGCTCAATCTCCCTCCGTCTGGGGCTCCATGCAAGATCTCACCTCGTGGGGCATCAATGATCATGAGGAAGGTGGTGGATCAGCCCAAAACTACACGGCAGGACCTGGGCAATGACCTGAAGAGAGCTGGGACCACAGTCTCAAAGAAAACCATTAGTAACACATTACGCCGTCATGGATTAAAATCCTGCAGTGCTCGCAAGGTCGCTCTGCTCAAGCAAGCTCATGTCCAGGCCCATCTGAAGCTTGCCAATGACCATCTGGATCAGGGATGGGCAACTTCGGTCCTGGAGGGCCACTGTCCTACAGAGTTTAGCTCCAACCCTGAAAAAACCACTTGCCTGTAACTTTCTAGTAATCCTGAAGACCTTGATTAGCTTGTTCAGGTGTGTTTGATTAGGGTTGAAGCTAAACCCTGTAGGACAGTGGTCCTCCAGGACCGAAGTTGCCCATCCCTGATCTGGATGATCCAGAGGAGGAATGGGAGAAGGTCATGTGGTCTGATGAGACAAAAATAGAGCTTTTTGGTCTAAACTCCACTCGCCGTGTTTGGAGGAAGAAGGATGAGTACAACCCCAAGAACACCATCCCAACCGTGAAGCATGGAGGTGGAAACATCATTCTTTGGGGATGCTTTACTGCAAAGGGGACAGGACGACAGCACCGTATTGAGAGGAGGATGGATAGGGTTAGTATCGTGAGATCTTGGCCAACAACCTCCTTCCCTCAGTAAGAGCATTGAAGATGGGTCGTGGCTGGGTGTTCCAGCATGACAACGACCCGAAACACACAGCCAAGGTGCAGCTAAGGAGTGGCTCCGTAAGAAGCATCTCAAGGTCCTGGAGTGGCATAGCCAGTCTCCAGACCTGAACCGCATAGAAAATCTTTGGAGGGAGACAGCCCCGACAGCCCCGAAACCTGAAGGATCTGGAGAAGGTGTGTATGGAGGAGTGGGCCAAATCCCTGCTGCAGTGTGTGCAAACCTGGTCAAGAACTACAGGAAACGTATGATCTCTGTAATTGCAAACAAAGGTTTCTGTACCAAATATTAAAGTTTTTTTTTTTTAACTTTTTTTGGGTTAAAAATTATCCAAAATACATATTTGAGAAAATACATAACCAGCCAGTGTTCAAAACTATCTGCTTGCCTTAGCTCGATTCAAAGCGGTAAGCTTGTAATCATGTTTTTAATTTCAGTGGTACTGGTAGATTTCCACGGGAGATTCGAGCATGTTTTTGCGCCATTACGTCACATCTGTACACATAAAGAAGGAGTCTCGGATGTTGCGTGTGAGGATGTTGGAGTTGGAGATTTATAGCCTTTTCTCACAGCACTTGATATAATTAAACTTAACAATTTGATGGCGGATCCAGAATGGTTCAAACGACAATCACCGGTGACAACTGGAGATTCACCCGTTGTAAAATGCAAAAGACTTCGTTCGGACTTCAGAGAGGCTACAGAAAAAAGAGACTGCAACCGATCCCATGTGAAAACAAGGATAAATATAGCTGCGAGCAGCGATTACGGGCCCAAGCCGGTGGCACCGCAACCCCGGTGCCTTTAGTTACCTAAAGGCACCGGGGTGGCGGTACCACCGGCTTTGGCCCTTCATCGCTGCTCGCAGCTATATTTATATATATATATATATAAAGCCGGTGGCACCGCCACCCTGGTGCCTTTAGGGTTATTGTGCACGACGTGCAAAAACGTAACCCTGCTTTGACTGTCGAAAAGAAGTGTGCTGTAGAGCTTGTATCAGTGTGGGCTCTGCAAAAGTGTGCATTGAGGGCACATATCAACCACAAAGTATGCGAGAGCAACCTTCTGAAAGGTCAGGTCTACATCCAGGTCTACATCTGCCGTGTGTTTACATCATAGTACTGAAGTTTGAAGCAATCAGGTGATTTCAAAGCTTTTTGAAAGTGACAGACTTCCTGCTGCCAGTTGGTGGCGCTATAACCGGGGTGGCGGTGCCGCCGGCTTTGGCCCTTTCATCGCTGCTCGCAGCTATATTTATATATATACACACACAAACACACACACACACACACACACACATATATATATATATATATATATACATAAATATATATATATTGTTTTTTTAAGAGACAAGACAGAATATTACTTGCCTGATCTGATTAGAAAAATAGTGTTTGTGTGTGTGTGTGTGTGTGTGTGTGTGTGTGTGTGTGTGTGTGTGTGTGTGTGTGTGTGTGTGTGTGTGTGTGTGTGTGTGTGTGTGTGTGTGTGTGTGTGGCGTAATTGAACAATGTAGACATAAAAACATACTCCGTCCTTTTGTTCATACAGGACATTATTCAAACTGCAAAGTGTTTACTTATATTTGTGTACACTTGCAATAAAACACAACATTGTGCTTTTGTCAAGCTATAAACTCTTGTCAAACTGTAAACTACAACTGTCACCCAACCAAAATCTCTTACACACACACACACACACACAGTTTAAAAGCAAAAAATATCAAACAATCCTATTTAAAAACAGTCTGTGGGAGCCATCTTTTGGACATTCATCATATCGCATTGGTTTTCATTTCTTGTCATCAAACAGAGCCCTAATCTGTTTATTTTTTCAGTTACACATTCTACATTGATTAAAAAAGAAAAATCAAATGTGTTTTTATTTTATACAGAAATAAATAATCTATCATTCAGATGAGAATAAAGTTAGTGTTAGTTCAAATTTTAAGGAAAACAAATATATGATCTGAAATATAGCACATTCATTTAAAATTCATTCAGGTTCAATTACCAAACATACAATCTTAATGTAATTTAAAGCAAACAATACATTTAAAATATATGGGTTGTATGACTATTTTTTAATATAAAAAGATATCCAAAAAGACAAGGCCTAAAGTTTAACAAGGGTTAAACTCTTATCACTGTAACAGACACAATCACACACACAATCACACACACACACACACAAGTCAAATCACTTACATTTTACATGCAATATTGACTTTTTTTCTGTTTCAGCAGCGAAAATAGTTAAACAAAG